TATTTGGCTGTTAATTAGTGTTACGTGATGAAACTCCAGTGCCTCAAATGGGTGGTGCCCATAGCTACGAGTGGACCTACTCCACAGGCTTTGCGGTATATTTAATGGTTGTATGCTATGGGGCAGATGCGACAGACAGACGGACGGACGGACTGACAGACAGACAGACAGACAGACCAAACACATGGCCGACTGTCATAAGTTAAGCAAACACAAAAAAAAAACCAAAATTATGGAGAGAAAAAGCAACCAAAAACAACATCAAAACTATAAACAATTGACAAGATGTACGTGTGTGTGGCATCCGAGTGTGTGAGCCAACAAATTGTTCACAATTTTCCCCAATTTACAATTTTATGATATTGCTGCAACAACAACAAAACAAACGAAAAACTTCATTAAAGTAACTATTGCAAAAAAAAATTTATGTAAGCAATTTAAATACACAGCCCGAATAAAAAAAATTGAAAAAATCACAAAACCAAAAAAAAAAGCCAGCAAAATAAATAGCAAAATAATAAAGGAAGGTGTAAAGGCTTTAAGGCTGTAACCATGCCGACAACACCAAACACCAAACAACAACAACGCAAAAACAACCGCAACAACAACAACAACAACAACTAATCGAACTGGTCATCAATTGGCCAAAGCCTGGTAATGGTCGCCCAGCGAGGCACAGGCGGCCCCGATACGGCCCAGGCCACACCAGACCAGACCAGACCAGGCCAGGCCAGGCCAGCCGAGCCGATCGATCGAAACGACAACGACAACGTCGAAGTCACCTCCAAAGCAGCAGCAGCAGCAGCAGCAGCAACGGTCAAACACAACGACGATCGATCTTAACAGTCACCGCCGCCGTCGCTGCATTAGATGAGGCAGAGACTGTGGCAGTGGCAGAGGCAAAGACAGTGCTTGGACCACGTCAGAGACAAGGCAACAACCAAAGTGGGTGATGCGACACAGACACAAACGCACACAGCAGTCGCCACAGTGGTACGAAAGCTACTGCAAAATGCACAAAGAGTGTAAATAAAATCGATTTTAAAAATAAAATTGCGTCTCTTGTTTCAAGAATATGAATAATAAAATTTCTTGCCATCAGTTTTCATCCAGAATATAAATGAAATAAAATGTGTTCTTCGAACTTAAAAACAAAAGATTTAATGCAAGGCAAATTGCGATTAATGAATTAAGAAATAAAATGATCAAAGCTAAAAATGTCTAAAGTTCAGAGAAGTAGATAACAAACCAAACTTAAAAATTCGTATCAAGCAAGCTTCTTTACTAAATTTGTAGTACTCTCATATGCGCTTCAAATATCATAGCATACTTTTGGGAACATTCATTTAAGTTGGAAATTTCCTATAATTATAATAATAATTTAACCTACTGACTTAAGATCTCGTGATACTCGGCCAAAAAAATATTAAGCTTAAGTATTAATTTTTAGAAATATTATAGTTGTACAATAATCTAGATAACTAACCATTATAAAAAAAACTCGATATTGAATTGGTTAATTTTTGGCAACTTGGTTCAATTAAGCTGAACTAGAAAGAAAGAAAAATTAAATAAATATGTTTCCAGTATTAAATAAAATAATGATATATTTATAGATTTCGATAGTTAGTCAACAAAAATATTATTTGAAATGAATGTATAAATCAATAATAATAATAATAATAATAATAATAATAATAATAATAATAATAATAATAATAATAATAATAATAATAATAATAATAATAATAATAATAATAATAATAATAATAATAATAATAATAATAATAATAATAATAATAATAATAATAATAATAATAATAATAATAATAATAATAATAATAATAATAATAATAATAATAATAATAATAATAAGATCACTTGCTTGCTTTCTATACTCAACAATTTGATTCGTATGTTACTTAATTTCTGAAAGATAAAAGAATTAAGTGTGAAATGATGTGTTTGTAAAAAATGCAACGAAAGTGGAATTTTTCTGCCTCGCATCTATTTATATTGATTAATTCGCTTCAACCCACTGTAACTGAGTGCATTCGATGTGCACCGCCCTGACCCACCTCGCCAGAGCAGCATGTGAACGCCAAAGAAGACACAGCCGAGTCGGGAGAGATGCGCAATGCTGCCCGCAACTCTACCATGCCCCTAGTCTCTGCCGCAGCCTCTGCCACAGCCTCAGCCTCAGCCTGACCGTATGGGGCAAATCGACGGGCGGCCGATTCACCTGTCGCTGGTTTTTGTTTGCTTTACGCAGCGAGTCAGCAGATGCAAATGGGTGGAGCACAACTCGGATAAAGAGAAGCTAGATGAATAGCAGCGGAGAAGAGAGTCGAGGGTAGAGGGTAGAGGAGAGGCTGCGACCTGGTCGCTGCTTTATGCGAATTCCATGAATTTGATCATTTTGGTGGAAGCGTATTAGATATTTGGCATCTTGGCGTGCAGTCAAGACGACAACAATAATAACAACAACAACAGTTGCACAAGTGACTGACGTACAATGCAGCAAACTTAAACATTAAATGCTGCTGCTGCTGCTGTTGTTGTTGTTGTCGTTGTTGCTATTGTTGCTGCTGCTTTGGCAGAGGCAGAGGTCAGCGCACACACGTGACCCATGTGGCTTTGGCGCTGTGTGTGTGGAGTATGGAGTGTGTTGCATGATCGATGGAATTGCCACAGCAAAGCCAAGAAATAAAATGGATTATAATTATAATGTGCGGTATGCTGTTGTACATACAGACACACATATATATATATATATATGTATTGTTGTATGCAACCATAGAGCACGCAGTTTGAAGGCAAAACACTTGGCTCACTTTTATTGTCAAACCAATAAAATAGCCAAAGACGACGGGCTTACAACCTGCCTGGAATTGATTTGGCCCGCAGCAGCTATTAACAGCAACAAAGCAGCCACAAAAAAAAAAAAACGAAAATCAAATAAACCAAAAAAAATATACATGCAGAGGATGATGATGCAGCAGGCAGATGGGAATGATGTTGTCGATACTGCAACAGCAGCTGAAGCAGCTAAGCAAAAAAACAGTTGACATCAGGTGCTGGCCAATACAGTGCAACCTGAATATGATGCCACATGCCACATATTTAAAAAGCTTGTACAAATATGGTTTATGGTTTGCAGACCTCTTTTAATAAATGAAATACGTTTTTTCTTTAAATACTCTAATACATTTCGAATAAAATATTTATTTGATGGATTGACTTTGTTTTTAATATGCATTATCTTAAGTTATATATATTGTTTGGCATCTGTTCCGAAATTTCTGTTCTGTCTAAGTATTTTCTTATTATATATTAATCTTATATATGATCTCTTATGTACTCTCTAAGATCCAAGTCAGCTTTTTTATCTGTAAATAGAGTTTTATATAGTTTTCTTCACTTTCAATATGTAACTGAAAGTGTCTTACAATATCTAAAGAAGCCCATTAAAAGATACACATTTTTAACATACATCGAGTTAATAATAATAAAAATAAAAAGCAAATAAGATTTTATGCCAAGCTAGCTTTATGTTGTTGTTTTGCCCGGAGTCAAAGTTTACAATAAAGTTGTTTGACTGTACTGTAAAATTCCAGCGAGCATTTTTGTGGTGCAAAAGACACAACAACAGCAACAGCAACAACAACAACAACAACGTGGCATGTAACAACATAAACAACCAAATACTATTTGGCCTCTTACACCTTTTTGGCATGAAACAACTTTTGGCTGGCAGGCTACAGTCTCCACGTTCCACGTTCCGAGTACCAAGTCCCCAATCCGAATCCCAGTTGCAGTTGCAGTTGCAGTGAGGATGAGCTGCGTTAGCCGCCAAGATCTTTATTTCGGTTCGAAGGATGTTGCGTTTGTAGCAGGGCGACGACAACGCCCCGAAAGGCACAATTAAAATTTAACGCTGCCCCCCAAAAATGGGGACGGCCAAGCGATTTAAGCCGCCAAAAGCATGTTGACCATTTACGGGTTGCAGCCTGCCGAAAATGTGTGCGTGCCTGTGTGTGTGTGTGCGGCGGCATTTTTGCCTTTGAGGAAAGTAGAGGGCACACACACAAATACGTATGTATTACTTACTTTAGCTGGTGTTTGCCACGCGAGGGGAACTGCAAACTGAAGAAGAAACACCAGAGCAAAAACAGTAACAATGCAACTGTTAATGAGCAGGCAGCACATGCTAATTGACATTCAGACGGTTCAACCCATGCAAATGGCTGCGCAAAATTTCACAAGAGCGAAAGAGAGAGAGAGAGAGAGAGAGACAAACAATCCGATGCGAATCGCTTATCGACTACTTGTCGACTTATCGGCATTGCTATCGATAAGCACTACAAAACTAAATATGGCAATTCTGTATGATAACAGCTGCAACAGCGCCTAAAAATTCACAACAACTATTACAAAAATCAGTTTGAAATATTTTAAATAATAGATACTGTAATTTTTGAAAAGCAAATTGTAGCAAAAACTAAAACCAAAAATCACACAATTGCCACATCGCTGGATTAAGTACCTGGCTGGCCCTTGTGCAAGCAAGGGAGTACTTCTTGCAGCAGTCTGGCAATACGAATAAACAAATGTGTTAAACAGCACTAGACCAGGGCTGCTGAGCACAAGCAAAGCCCGCGAGCAGCGGTCGTAGCGTTGCCACTAGGGCAAAAACACATCAATCTGTCCACTGTAGCAGCTGTATGTAAAATTAAATAAGGAAAAAAAATAATGAATATCGCGTATACGCAGCAAATACATTATTATTTGCAAAACAAATAATTTAATCGCAGCGAAATGGGCACAACTGCGCATTTGTTAACATTTATTTACCACCCAAAATAATTGTAAACAAACCAAAAAAAAAATCGAAGCGATCGCGACCACTCTCAGACTCTCTCTCTCTCTCTCTCTCGCATTCAATCTCTCTCTTCGCTCGCGCTCTCTTCTTGCAGTCACTGCTTACTGTTGCGCTGAACAGTTCTACTTTGACCAGCAAAGGAAACGGTCGTGTGTGCGGAGTAAAAATAAGAAAGAAACGACAGAAGAAAAAAACAAAAAATTTGCGCGCTGCTAATAAAACCAAAGCAACAATTTAAAAATATATTAAACTATTTCTGCTTATCATTGAACGCTAAATAAATAAAGCATTAAAAAGAAATAGAGTGCCGTAAATTCTTGCCATTAAAATGGACAAACATAAATGCATTGACAATGTGTTTTAATTTTGTATAATTTCAAACGAACTGCAAATCAACAAACACATTTAACAAAAAAGGTAAACAAAACTCAGCCGATCAACTGAATTGCCCCAATTTCACATTGCAATTTGCTAAGTACAGTTAAAATCATAAATATATTTATATATCTTTATTTGCTACCTAAATCTGCATGCTGTTACCCAAACTGTTTAATTGACGTTTTGCGGAATTTGGAGCCATTTTTTCATTCATTTTTCTTTCTCTTGTGTGTTTTTATTATTTGTTTACCGCCTATGACTAAGACTAAGATACAAACGTCCAAGAAGTCATTTCATCTGCTGCCTTTTCTAGCCTCTCTCACCTCTTCCCCTCTTTCGCCCCTCTGCCGTTGTATGTCTTTCTCCTCCAGTTTCTTTTGTTTGTTGGTTGGTTGAAAACTTACAAAAAATTGCCAATGACCGGCATTTTTTTTCAGCTCTGCCTCTGATTGCAAAATTATTATTGTTGTTGTTGTCGCATTTTTATTTTGCTGCGCAGGTCTTTTTTATATAAGTGCTAGCTGAAAGCTCAACTGAAACAACTTGGCCAGAATTCATTTAAAAAAAAAAATTAAGAAAAAATGTCTGGGCATTTTGAACGCAACTAAAAGTTTTTAATAATAACAATCTGCTGAAAGCTGTTTTAGTGCAAACAAATAGTTCATTTCAAAACAAATTGCAATAAATAACTTTGTTTATTTATCAACGCTTCTCAATTGTAAGTGGAATGCATTCGTATGCGTGATAGCCAAAAAATACATTCCACAAATAATTTCAATCATAAATACAAAATTATTGTCTCTATCTTTTTCACATGAATTCGGTAGAAGTTTCCTCGAAAGAGGGGAACTCCTTTCTTCGAGTGTATTTGAAACTTCGACGTGCACTCAAGATCCATTACTCTTCCCTCTTTTCTGTGTGTGTGTGTGAGTGTGTGTATATATATGTGTGTGTGTGAGAGTGTGTGTATATATGTGTGTGTGTGTGTGTGTTCTTCGTGTGTCTGTTCATAATTTTGTATTATATGTCGATTCGACAAAAAAGATAACATTATCATGGTGCTATAACATATGCCAAACTGATTGGCTTGATAAGTCCGACAGTACCCAATGCTGGCAGCACCAACACAGTTGCCAACCAATACACGGATACCAAAACACCGAAACCGAAACCAAACACCTAACAAATAACTACAACAACTACAGTAATGCAATGCCATCAAATACCCTGTAAAAACAATTAAGTAACATGCTAATTTGAATAATTCATTTTGATTTCTATTGCAATTTTATTTTTCCCTTTTGCGCAATTTCAAGACCATCATTTCTGTTGTTATTCATTTTAATTTTCGGCTTCCCATCTTTTAATATATATTTCATAATTTGTGCATTATATTTGAAGTATATTTTTAAGGTTTTCCCAGACTTAACTATTGTTTTGTATATGCAAGAAATGTATCTATTTTAGAAGCAAGAGTAGGCTAAGGCATTAAATGGAACGAATTCAACAGATTTAAAAAGTATTTTTAGTAATTTAGTTAACTATTTTCTTTTCAATATTATTACAGAAATGTTTTAGAAAGGCAAATAGTTCGTTAGTTATCAATATCCTGTGTTTTTCTTTATATTAGTTTGTCGAGCGGTTCCTACACAGTATTGCTGAAAGTTGCAGGGTATTTAAGCAAAACCTTGCAGACACACTTACCTTACTACGACGCAATAAAAAACAAAAACAAAAACACTTTATGTGTGGTGCAAGAAATTGCCCCACAAACTACACATAACTGGACTGTCTGGTAAACCCACTTTCTTGCCCCGCCCCCTCGCTTAAGTTAACCGCCTCTGACGAATGAAAATTGAAATTCAACTGACATTTGCTAATTTTGTTTTATATATTTTTCTCATTTTTGTTTTCTGTTGCAGCTACACACTTTCAGGATCTCATCATCAATTTGTAATTTACACAACTGAGACTACGTCGCATATATATACATATATCCCTATATATATGTCCGTATATATTTATATATATATATATATATATAACAATGGCACACTTGGGTCTTTCTATTTTTTGTGTAGCACTTTTGCTGCTTTCGACGACACAGAATGGGACGAGCGCATTGTCAGGTGAGTCCGAGAATTATTGGATGAAATTTTTGCAGCATATGAAAAATATATAACAAGTGTTTTGTTTGTCAACCAAATTGGCAATAAAATCAGCATTTCTGTCCAGAAATTAACTCATTTATAAACACATCAACTGACTCATCCAATGCTTAATGATCTCTGATACTGCCTGCTCTTTTTATTTATTTCTTTTTTTTTGAGCATTTCATTTTTGTTTTGTTTATGGCTTTTATAGCGCCCAGAGCAATCTGCCAATAGATTTATTTGCGACCTTATTACGCACTCGAGACTCTCGAGATTCCCACAAAAAAAAAGACCAAGAACCTAAATATGCAAAACGACGTCACAAACACAATCTGCCCAGCCATGACGTCAAGAACTACACGAAATACCAAAAATCGTTTATTGAATAGGTGGCTCTCTATATATAGCCATAGAGATCGAACTATTATATTATACACTGCCACACAATGTTGCTGTCATTGCGTTTGTTTTTGTTTATATTTTGGTTTTGTTTTCCTCTACAAACACATGTTTTTGTTATTGATTCTTTTTTCGGTTTTTTTTTCGTTGTTTTTTTTTTTTTTTTTTTTTTTGTTTTGTGTATATTTTTGCTGTTGTGGTTTTTGTGGCTTTTTGAAACAATTTCATTGATAATTTAGATAGCGTGCGTGGGTTTATTTTCATTTTATATATTTGAATTTCGATTGTTTTTGTTTGTTTGAGTTCGCTGGGCATGCCCCCCAACATGATAAAATTTGTTTATGTGTACTTCAAGCGAGAGTTGCCCTTGAGAGATATTTCAATTGAACAGCAGGTTTTTTGGGTTTGGGCTGTGGGGTAGGTTGTACCTGTTACGTATGGCTTGCCATTGAGTTGCTGCCGCTGAATTAACCCAATTACTTTTACAGCTAATCAAGCAGCGATCCCAAACAGATATATAGCCGATTGAAAGCCGAGTGCTCATTAATTGAGCAATTTAAATAATGAGCATTGAAAAATATTTGTTTATACAATAAAAGCAAACAATTAAGCACAATTTTGTAAACTGCGAAACGCTTAAGTACTGTAGCAAAACAAAACATTATTAATAAGCAAAAGAAATTGGGAAATTTGTAAATATTCAATATTATTTTAGCAGCAGCATCAATTAAAATGTTATATTAACAGTATAATGTTTATGAATTTTGTAAAAATTAAACTAATTACGCAAAGCCAAAAGGGAATACTTTATTTAGGAAAGTAAAAAATATTGCTATTCAATCAATTGATATTGTAAATATTATTGGATAGAAGTTCTGATTATTAAAAATATTACCACTAAGCAGACAATACACAATGTATTATTACTCGCGCAGATGCTTTAATCACAATTTTGGTAATATAATTGTAAAGAAATTCGGAACTTTATAAAAATTAATACAATAAAGCAAAGCCAAAATGAAATAGTTCAATTTAAAACTAAAATATTATTTTAACAGCAGATTCGATAACAATTTTATAATTGAAATACATTTCCTCTCTTGCCTTTTCGCCTACGTCCAATAACCAAATCAACCTTTAAAAATAGGCTGAAACAAATTGAAATCGTTCACAAGAAACTGTGAATAACGAACGCAAACAGAAGGCAACTAAGTATACAGTGGCTTTCACCTCAACCCATGCTAAAATCAATAAATGATAAAGGCACCAAATGACTTCCGCAAATGAAGCAGTCACCAAGGAGTCCGTAACAGTCCACTAATATATTTTTATGCGACACCAAAACAAAAAAACAACAAAAAACAAAAACTAAAACAATCAATATAGAGCGGGTCACAGAAGGCAAGCACTCGGGATATGCCAAGGCCAACGAAAAAGGAAAGCCATTTGCATAATCCACCACCAAAAACTTTCATTTAGGTGGTGTAAAACTAGTACATAGGACGGGTTTAGGCTCCAACTTCAACTGAGCTGCGGAGTTGACACTTTACATAGGGCACAAGTTAATGTCAAAGTTAATGTGGCTGACTCAAGCGAATCAATTTGTTTTCGTTTTTTTTTGTTTTTTCGTCAGCTCTAACAAGGTCATAATGTGCCACAATTAGCCAACAGACGAAAAGTCGAAAAAGAGGGGCAAACCTGGTAAAAGTGACGGCTGAGCGAGTTAAATTTAGTTTTTACCAGACTCATAAATCAGACAGCAAACAACGCAAGCCGATCGCATTCGAAATGCTCATAACCAAAAGCGAAAGGTCTTGCAAAAAATCAGATCAAACAAAGTCGAGCAAAGTTGAACCCACACACATCATTTCACCCATTATTATAAAATTTGTAAACATTTATTTATATACACGTACATATTTTTGCATATGTATATGTGTGGCACTTTTTGTGCAAAAAAATAGCCATATTTGAGACTACTTTCTGCAAAAATAAATATGACAGATGCACAATTTAATGGCTGATTGTATTTTATTTTTTCTTTCTATTTCCCATTCAATTCCACGATCTGTCAAATATTTCTATAAGGCTTATAAGCCTTAACTCATAACTTAGTGGTTAATGAGCTTTGGGCATTCATTGTTCCAAACTCTATTCAAAAATATAATAGATTAAGCAGATGGCTCTTTCAATGCATTCAATAAATTGGCCATCAAAGCTGCCAATCTGACAAAATGGGAAAAGCTAAAATCAAAAATACCTATTTTCATTTTCAAATTCAATTTCCAGCATCGAGCTGGAAAGTGAAACAAATTCAATTAGCCGTTAATAGAACTGCTGAATACAATATGTGTATGTGTATATATGAATTTCAATGTACGTAGAATTGTCGTTGCCTACCCGAAGTGTGTGTGCAGGTACATCTGCTTGTGTGTGTACTGGAATTTATAAACTAAATATTTGTGGCAAAAAATTCCAACTATTTGCCGTAACGCCAAACAAAGCAACAAAAACAATAACAACAACAGCCAAGCAGCAAATCAGCCAGCCAACCTACCACCTGATACCCGTGACTTTGTTAGTCGCTTAAGATAATTAAGATAATATGTCTCTAAACAACATTCCACAATAATAAAATTTCGGGTTGGCGTTGTAAATAAACAGCTAAGCGGCATCTTCATATCAGCAGCAGCACCAGATCTCCTTATAAGGCCAACAGTTTTAATATTGCGACTTTAACAATTGTACAAAAAATACTAAAATATATATTTGGTCACATGCAGTTGTCTCTATTCGCACTTTGTGAGTCATTGTGTGTGTGTGTGTGTGTGTGTGTGTGTGTGTGTGTGTGTGTGTGTGTGTGTGTGGACTATGTGAGCCAGATTCAGGCCTTATCTTGCCTATAGCAAAATTATGTTATTAATCTGTCAAGCTGTTGCATTTTTTGATAAGATATGATATGCATTGTATTGCAAAATTGTATTTCCGTATACTTATGACATATACATATATAACTAGAGCCAGACTGAGCACCAATGCGTCCTCACGCGAATTTCCAATTCTAATTTTGGAATAATGAATCATTTGAGGAGCATCCCATATTGCTCACTCGCACTAATAACTCAACTCCCTTGACGTAGCTTGTGCCATTGCCTTCAGTTATAAGAAATGTGTTAACTATCTGTATATTATGTTGTTAATTTTTTTAAAAGTGAATCTTCAAGGCTACCTTTGAATTGTAGTTGAAAATTTGTTTTTTTTTTTATTATTGCAATTCTTCGTATCGACGTATTATGTTAGACACCATGTCCGGTCTAGAAATAAAACAATCAAAGCCGACATTCATAGATTTTAAAAGAAGGTTTTGCGTCAGCTTTTAATAAATTAAAAGCAAATAAAACAAACACATGTCGTAAAAATTTCATTTGAACTGAGATTAAGTTGCCAAGAGCCATTTAGTATATGTAATACACAAGCAAGTTATGCTTCGATTTGTTTTCAAATTTATTACTGAATATAAGAAGACTGATCGTAAAAACAATGTGCATATATGTGTATTTGACTACTTAAGCCCTGGTATATATATATATATATTTATTTATATTCCTAACTGTGGCTATTTTTAGTAAAAGAAAGCAAGGGGCTTGAGTTCCACTTGATTGCCATTAGTATTACTCTTCACAATTTTAAGTGTTACGAATATTGTGCGGTCCCAAACACAATTATCGGCCAAGCACTACGTCATCTCTTAACTAAAGTGGTTTATTTGTGCTTACTGCAAGTGTACGCCTTATTCAGTTTTAGCTTTCTAATCTAGGCAATATATGCAGTTAAGTAACAAATTCTTAGCCCGGTGCTTTTGCGTTTATCAAAACAAAATATCTTATCGCCGCAGCGAAGAAGCGCATTCCAAACTTCATTAGTCATTTGACCTTTTTTTTAGCCACAATAGAGAGCAGCACATAATTATTCACGAATGCGTCATTGCCAGACATATTTCGATCAAGTATTCAGGCGTCTGTCTCAGTTAATTGAATCGGTCTAGAGCACATTTTTGTTTTTTTTTTTTTAATGCCTGTTGCGCTGAAACATCTGCGAAGGTGGACAACCAACAACAACAACAACAACTCTTTCATGGAAAATATGACGAAATTACTAAAAATGTATTATCGGAAATAAAATGGCACAGCAAGTACAAATGCGCGATTAGAGACTAGGAAATGGCATGCTATATCTTGGGGGTCTAACAAAGTCATGTAAAAGTACATGTACAGCAGCTGATTTCTGACTAGAACTGTTGGATTATTTACCCATATGCAGATGATTAAACATTTGCCTAAAGTTAAGTACACTTTTCGAGCTGTAAACGCCAGAGATTGATTACGAACGGTCGTGACTTATCCACTTATCTGCTGTTAGACACGTTTACACAATTGAACGAGCACATTTATGTCCATTTTGTATGTTTACAGGGTATAATAAACTTGAATTGGTTACGCTTGATTATTGGCATTGATTACACTTACATTTGCACATACATATATATATATGTATCTCTTACAGTTGGCACAATGAAA